GAGTAAAAGTAAAGACAAAGATGAGGATGATGGCAGATTTATTGTTGGAAAAAATCCAAGCCAGAAGACAGTGAGCAGCACTTTCAAAGACAGACAAGGACATGAAAAACTGGAGCTCTTGTGCACACTGCTCACAGGAATGTGAAACAATACAATGTCAACCGCAGGTCAGGGGCTTAACCATACCAACCAGCCATCCCACTGCTAAGATTCACCCAAAAGAAATGAAAGATGTGTACCCAGATGTTCACAGGGGTGTTCTTTAGAAAAGCCCCAAACTGGAAATAAGCCACATGTCCACCAGCAGGTGACAGGCTAAATGACATCTCCTGGATCCACACAGTGGAGTATTACTCAGGAGCAAAAAGGAATGAACCACAGCTATACCCAAATCATCAATGCATCTCAAAAGAATTATGATGAAAGAGTATGTACTGTACATATTGTATTATTGTACATACTGCATGAACTCTAATATTCTATTTATATAAAATTCCAAAAAGTGTAAATGAATCTGTAATGAAATCAGATTAGTGTTTGCCTGGGGATGAGACAGATAAGAGGAAGTGGGGAAAGATCTTAGGGGTGATGGGTAGCAATAGAGGACCGTAATCAGTACCCTGCTTATGAGGATGGTTCCCCAGGTCTGGTGTCATCAAAATGGGTCAAATTTCATATTTTAAATATGGGCACTTCGCTGCATGTCAAATATCCCCCCAGTAGAACTATCACACAAAAATCAACACCTACGAACTAGTGTTAATGGCAGAGTGGAGATCACAGTGATTAAGCAACTGTGGATTTTGAATCCCAGCACCTCCATTCCCCAGCTGGTAATGAAATCAGTAAGCCTCAGGGGTCTTCCCTCCGTAAGACGAGGTGCTATTACCTACTTCACAGAATTATCATGACATTCATATAATGCATATAAAACGTTAACTCAGTGACTAGCAAATAGCGTAAGTACAGCAAGCAAGACATTCTAGCTGAGTGGGGTGACACAAACCTGTAATCCCACCACTCTGGGAGGCTGAGGCAGGAGGAATGCAAGTTCAAGCTCAGCCTGGACAACTTAGCGAGATCCCATCTCAAAATAAAAATTTATAAAACAGCTGGAGAGACATCTCAGTGAGAAGGCCCTCGGTTCAATCCCCAGTAACACACATACACACACAATTTCTACTATAAATCCAAAACATAACTATTATAAACTGTTATAGCATTGAAGTTTGATGATAGTATCATGTCATTTACAGAATAACCATAGTCATGATTCGAGGTTGGAGGAGGGTGAGGCGAACACAATACCCAAATAGAAAGAATGAGAATACATGTCCTACTCGAAAAGACATACTGTTAGGCATGGTCTACAAGAGAAGACAGAATCGTTACCATCAGAATAAACACAAAATATGTTCGAAGTAACAGTGATGAAATACCATTTTTCACCCCCAAGGGATTGTACTTTTTTTTATTTTAAAGATAAATGAATGAAAACATTAACAAACACACAGACATTTACAAACTCACTAGTGTAAGAACCTAATAAAAAATTTATTTAAATAAAATCTAAAAGGTACAATAGATATTCTGAAAGGGAAAGAAACTGCCCAAAAGGAAAGAACAACTGGGATGAGGGAAGAGAAAAAGAAGGGAAAAAATATGTATGTATGTATACAAAGGACAGCTAAGATAGTTGTACCACTGATTTCTATTGCTTTAGTGAAAGGAACAGTCAGGGGCCGGGGATAGAGCTCAGTGGCATAAGCGCTTGCCTGGCAAGCCTGAGGTCATGAGTTCAATTCCCGGTACTAAGAAAAAAAAAATGAAAGGAACAGTCAATGTTTAATTGTTTGATCAGTCTTACATGCCTACATTTGCTG